CCTAGTGTCCATATTTGACACATTCCCGACGTGGGTGCAAGTATGTGAATTCACATCATGGGTACAACCACAACAGGCAAAATTCCCGTCCTCAAGAAACATCCCAGCTAGATCAGAATCACCGAGCTTTTCCCTATAAGCTGGCTGGCCACATTCACTTAACTGACCAAAGCCGAATTCATCAAATCCCAAGCTGTACCACTAGTTACATAACAATTTCTCGCTCAAGCGAAGGCCCTCCCCACCCCAAGCTAAAACTAATTACACCAAGTATACTCATCACTATCTAAAACTGTACATTATGTTTGCAAAATATGTTTCATCACCCATAACAACACACACAATGAGCCGTGAGAGCATCTGCAAATGAACCAGCCGTTACACTTGAGTGCACACCCACCCGCTCTGACTGGGTTCGGTATCCCGGCTGCTTCGTTTCGAGGGAAGTAAACCCAAGTACAAAATATTGCACTTTTGATTTGCGATTGTACGCTGATAATTTTGTTTATATGTTTTTTTCATAACCATCAATGCATATTATGTCATGAATAAGTGATAATTTTGTTTTAATTATGTTTGATTTTTTGGTTGCATGTGACCTTTAATGTGAAAAATATTTCAACTCAATATTGTTTTTGTTCGGTTTTGGGGGGTATTTTTTGGCAACGCTCGATCTCATAAGATTGTTGCCCATTGAATTCTTTACTATACAGTATCATGACTACGGGTTGACACCAGTACTTCCACCATTCGTACAGCTACATGGTCCTGGACTGACATTTTAACACGACATACTGAAGTTCTGACTCGCATCTTCTCGTGTAACGCTGGTGTTGATGTCATTCTGACGCGCATCTACTCACGCTACGTCGATACTGATGTCATTCTGACGCGCATCTACTCACGTTACGTCGATACTGATGTCACTCTGACGCGCATCTACTCACGTTGCGTCGATACTGATGTCACTCTGACGCGCATCTACTCTCGCTACGTCGATACTGATGTCACTCTGACGCGCATCTACTCATGTTACGCCGATGCTGATGTCATTCTGACGCACATCGACTCACGTTACGCCGATGTTGATGTCATTCTGACGCGCATCTACTCTCGCTACGTCGATACTGATGTCACTCTGACGCGCATCTACCTACGTTACGCCGGTACTGATGTCATTCTGACGCGCATCTACTCTCGCTACGTCGATACTGATGTCACTCCGGTGTGTAACGCTCGTGTAACGCCGATGTTGATGTCATGCTGACGCGCATCTACTCACGCTACGTCGATACTGATGTCATTCTGACGCACATCTTCTCACGTTACGTCGATACTGATGTCACTCTGACGAGCATCTACTCACGTTACGTCGATACTGATGTCACTCTGACGCGCATCTACTCTCGCTACGTCGATACTGATGTCACTCCGGTGTGTAACGCTCGTGTAACGCCGGTGTTGATGTCATTCTGACGCACATCTACTCACGTTACGTCGATACTGATGTCATTCTGACGCGCATCTACTCACGCTACGTCGATACTGATGTCAATCTGACGCGCATCTACTCACGTTACGCCGGTGTTGATGTCATTCTGACGCGCATCTGCTAACGTTACGCCGATGTTGATGTCATTCTGACGCGCATCTACTCATGTTACGCCGGTGTTGATGTCATTCTGACGCGCATCTACTCATGTTACGCCGGTGTTGATGTCATTCTGACGCGCATCTACTCAAGTTACGCCGGTGTTGATGTCATTCTGACGCGCATCTGCTAACGTTACGCCGATGTTGATGTCATTCTGACGCGCATCTACTCATGTTACGCCGATGTTGATGTCATTCTGACGCGCATCTACTCATGTAACGCCGGTGTTGATGTCATTCTGACGCGCATCTGCTAACGTTACGCCGATGTTGATGTCATTCTGACGCGCATCTACTCATGTTACGCCTGTGTTGATGTCATTCTGACGCGCATCTGCTAACGTTACGCCGATGTTAATGTCATGCTGACGCGCATCTACTCATGTTACGCCGATGCTGATGTCATTCTGACGCACATCGACTCACGTTACGCCGATGTTGATGTCATTCTGAAGCGCATCTACCTACGTTACGCCGGTACTGATGTCATTCTGACGCGCAACCACTCACGTTACGCCGGTACTGATGTCATTCTGACGCACATCTACTCACGTTACGCCAGTGTTGATGTCATTCTGACGCGCATCTACTCACGTTACGCCGATGCTGATGTCACTCTGACGCGCATCTACTCACGTTACCCGGTACTGATGTCAATCTGACGCGCATTCACTAACAAAGAGTTGTTGTTGATGTTTTAGCGCTTCCAAGACGTGACCCCGAGTAAACATATTATATCATAATCGGGTAAAACGAGGGCGACAGCAGATGGATTAGCATTACGCATTGCAGGAACTTGGGCCAGCACCCGTTGACCAATGGCCATGGCGCCCATGGAGGTCACACTCGTTAATGATATCTTCTGTTCCAACATATTTATCAGTGTGAAGTTTAGGGGGAATGGACCGTCCTGCTTTACTTTTCAAAGTGAGACAGCTATCCACATTCGTCGTCAGTATTGTCACCTGGACGATAGTAATATGATAGTAGAAAGTTTTGGGTTTTTTTCGAATAACTATGTTTATTTGCAAAAATATACTGAACCGCAAAAAAACCGCAAGTTTTTCAAAATTAATAAATATTTGACAGAACATTGTTAAATATTATAGTGTAACTACACATTGTTACCGTTGTTGTGAAAAAACAGTTTTTTTAATGTTCAGGTTCTGTTTGGTGATTTTTTTGGATATTGCACATGGCCAAAACGCAGCAATTGAATTGCCCGTGGGATGTGGTTGCAGAAGTTTTTCATGAAAATCATGATGCGCATTATGTCACGGACACATAGGGGTCTAAAAATGCCCTCAAATCAGTTTGAAATCACTCCCGACAAACGCCCACCAAGAATGCCTAGGTTAACGACGCAACAGAGGGAACAAGCGATCGGCCGTCTTGAAGCTGGACAGAGTGTTGCAGATGTTGCCAATGCATTCCATGTGCACATAACGACCATTTACCGTCTTCAGGAACGTTTTGCTGCTACACAGACCACTGCTGACCGCCAGCGTCCTGGACGTCCGAGAGTCACAACACCACGGTAAGATCGACACTTTCAACGTTCGCACATCGGGGATCGATTCTTATCTGCCAACGAGACTGCCCGACACACTATTGGATGTCACAACCGATCAATAAGCGGAGATACAGTTCGGCGCGGACTCAGAGCAGTTCACCTCTGTTGTCGTCGTCCAGCTCGACGTCCTATCCTCACACCGAGACATCGTCAGAATCGTCTGCAGTCGGCTACGTTGCATCGAAACTGGCGTCAACAACAGTGGAGACTGGTATGTTCTCTGATGAAAGTCGGTTTTGCATTTCTCGTGCTGATGGCCGAGTTCGAATATGGCGAAGACGAGGTGAACGCTTTGCTGACGAATGTGTAATGGAAGTTGATGCATGGGGAGGTGCGAGCGTTATGGTATGGGCAGCGATTGGCCTGATCAGAGATTGGGGCCAGTATTCTTCCAGAATATTTGGCCAGGTCGGGGAAATGGAGTCACTGCCCAACGTTATATCGACCAGATCCTCCGACCACAGGTTGTGCCATTTTCCGTCCGACACCAGCAACACAGTTTCCAGCAAGATAATGCCAGGCCCCACACTGCTAGAGTCACTCAGGCATTTTGCCAGCAGCACAACATCCGACTACTGCCATGGCCTGCTGCTAGTCCCGATTTAAACCCGATCGAACATTTTTGGGACGAGCTGCAGAGACGACTGAATGAAGTCCGACCACGTCCGACAACTGCAGCAGAACTCCAGACAGCCATCATCCGGACATGTGCGGCAATCCCTAGGGCCGTTGTCAACCGTCTGATTCACTCCATGTTCAGGCGGTGCACAGCTGTAGTGAATGCACGAGGTGGACATACACGCTACTGACTTGTTGGATCAATTTCGATTTTGTCTTTAATGCAAAGTAAACCAACAATGTTTCCATGCATTGACTGACATGTCCCAATAATCATGCAATAAGTGTTGATTGTTAGCATGTACCTGTTTTCATGCATTATCTGTCAAAAGTAAAGTTTTTATAAATCTGGATTTTGACTTGCGTTTCTTTTGCGGTTTAGTATATATTAGTGACTTGACTTGCGTAGACAGACATGGACCGTGGTCGTTTGCTAACTGAAATGGTTCACTGTAACAAATGACTACTTTTGACGCCACACGTAAAATTATGCCCCATTCAAACAAAAGACATATTTATTGAACTTTATGTGTAAAGTATATAACTCCTAAATTACGAATACATTGCTAATATCATATATAGCAGTGTGTAGACTTGCCAAACGTGGGTTTCAGTATCAAAACCAAACTTCTCAGGCCTTACATGTCAGATATGTTTTCAATCTACGACCGCCAGAGACCTGAAATCTTATGCATGTGCAATTTGCTTGTGTGAAATACGCGAGGATATGTTTGATTGGAAGTTTAGAAGTTGATGAATAATAAGAAAGGTACGATACGTTATGGATAACAGCCTCTTTATTATATTATTTATAACATGAGGGTAATGATGTGATGTTTCGGTATAGATTCTTTTACCTTTTTCAAGGAAGAGCAAAATAATACAGCACAAAGCCGACTTATATACAAGTGGAGTAAGTGAGACAACATGAGGGTATTATCAAAGGGATTAACAACAACATCAACAACAATGGAATGGGTAATAATGCAGTAACAATACGAGGAAGCCAACTGTTGAAGAGGCAGAACATAATATACATAGCAGATGGGATATATTAGCACTGATGGCTGTAGTGCTATGTTCTGTTGTTTTTATCAGTTCATTGTCGTTGGATGGGATGAGGTATCCTGGTCTCTGTTGATTGATTGTGTTTCAGGTTGAGCTTCCATCATTCGATGATGTGGGATTCAGCACGTGGGTTGTTTGCTGCAACAGTCTGGGTCCTCCTCGTGTGGCAGTCGTCATGCCGTAAGTTCCCTTAAAAACATGATTAACGATGGTTACCACCTTATTATGTGTCGAACCTTCCTTCAGAAGTTAGCACTGAGTTGAAACATATAACAGAACAGAAGTTTATTGTATTTCAAGGCCAGGAGGCCCAGAGTACAGTTTTAGATGTAGTTTAAGATGTTAAAATACATTTTCTGAGCGGTATGATTTTATGATAATACCATATGCACTATGATACACAATGACATTAACAAGTCATGATTTAATATATAAGGAAACTAACTCTATGCTCCTAGTTGACCGTAGACAAATTAGAAAGTTATCACTATTTTACGAAATGGTTCATCATATGACACCAGGTTATTTAACTGATCTACTGCCCGAAAAAGTATCACAGTTAAGTGACCATAGATTAAGAAACAGTAATAACATTCAAACTATAAGATGTCGTAGTGATTTGCATAGCAACTCGTTTTTACCTGATACAATACGACAATGGAATGATTTGCCTGAGAATATGTACGATATTGAAACCATAGGCCAATTCAAAAATGCATTCCAATCATCAAAACCACTCAATTTTAATATATTTGATAAAAACTTTGGTACACGTTTCTGCGAAATTATCCACTCACGCTTCAGACTTGGGTGCAGTAATTTGAAAGCGCACATGTTTGAACCGCACATTTCAGTTAATCCATTCTGTTCCTGTGGTCACCCCTATGAGGATACTTTACATTACTTCTTTACTTGTCCTAATTATTCTAACATCAGACATCGCATGTAGTTTTACGAACATGGATATAATTTAAATTCTGTCCTAAATGGTAACCCAAACAAAAATGAACTTGTAAATTTTTTCATACTACAATCTGTCCATACTTTTATAATAAAATCGCATAGGTTTGATAAATGATTGATAATGTTTAATACGCCAACTGTTGAAGAGGCAGAATAGACATTAGCAGATGGGAGTAATTAGCAATGATGGCTTGAGTGCTATGTTCTGTTGTTTTAATCAATACAAAACTGATTAACGATTGCATTATGCTTACCAGTTTATTATGTGTCACACCATCTTTCAGAAGCTAGCACTGAGTTAAAACTTATAACGTTTGTTTCGCGTATTTACAGATTATCCGATACTAGAAGGGGGAATGACGGCTTCGAACACTTCCAGGTTACGATGTACAAAAACAGGCGGTTGGGGCATCACAGGACTGTTTACAGTCTACTGGTACCGAAATGACACCCTTGTATTCGAAACATACAGACGGTTCGGATCATATGTACACATCGTGGACAATAGGTTTGAAAAATCCGTTCATCTGAATATTGCTTGGAGGAGCCACACTGTGACCGTTTCTGACGTGCACGAAGGCATGTCTATATGGAGGTGCAACAACGATAACAACAAAAATACTTGGAGTGAACCAATTGAAATATCAAGTAAGTGCAATAATAATACTAATTATCATATAAATAATTGTACAACGCATTCTCAACTCAGTGTGTCTGACCCGCTCAGTGTCCTTCTCGATAGATCAGTGTACTCGTGACTGCCATTTTCAGCTCAAAGGAAGCCCAAACCTCATATGTCTTGCCAGAATGTTTCCTGTCACATTACCATACCGAACTACCGGGTAACCATATGCGATGCTAGGTGAATTGTCTGTACAAAATGAAGACCCATGGCATTAACTGACTGTGTGTCCCACATTCTTGCTGTCTATTTTGATGACATGAGATAATTTTGCTCTTGGACAGTAAAGAAACAATCGCGTTTTGTCTGAACGACATATTTGGCTGATTTTGCCCGAGATGTCAGTTGCTTTATATGAAAGGACTTTTCTGAAGAATGATGTTGTTTCCTTTTTCTTCAGGTAATACAGCAGGTGTAAAGCCGTTCACGCCTATTACGCAAACCCCTTTTGAAGGTGAGAACACAACATATCACTTGGGAAGATTCACGTTTTAGGAATACCAATCCCCACTCCAATTGATTTATCTTCTTTTATTTATGTGTATTCTGTTCATCGTCAATGTTTGGTTAAAACGGGTTATTATATTAACAACAAAAATCGTTAATTCTTAACTTTGCAACAAAGACACACTACCTGATTTTATCATGTTTCATTTTCAGTTGATAACTAAGGCGAGTGATGTTAGATCTCACAACATGAACTATAGTGGCTCTTGGCCAGTACTCAAACAATACTTCTGTAGGTGCTTTTATATACATTTTAAATCATTTTTTGTCGTTTTACATCGAAAACAGATTAATGTACATTTGCAGCAAAAAAAATTACATTTCCAATAGTGTTCAGGTCTTGCAGTTCCAAATTCTTCCAAATTTCTTTCAAAAGTCTTCACTAAACCAGTGTATTGGTGTACACCATACTTTTCCCAAACTGTTGCAGGAATGGGTTCTGCTTAAAATGACATATGCAAATTTAGACAGAGATATTTAAATACATAAAACACACTCTGTATATGTATTGCCACTCAGATTATATATGGGGATTTGAAAGGAATTCTAAGTATGCAATGCCCTACTTCTTTCATTGTACCACCTGTTCCCGTGTTTGTTCAGGTGAACGCTTCACTTGCCTCTGCATGTGTTTATGACACGTGTTCTTCATGTAGTCGGGGGATTTAATAGGATTTGCTTTTAGCACAGATTTTTTAAGATTCTGTTTTTTCGCTTTCATCTAGTTCATATTTCCCTTTCTGTGATGAGAGACCATTGTTATTTATTTCCCAATAGGACATTGTGATTCGATCATTTTCTCTAAAACATGATCATTGAATCTTTTAGGAAATGTCACTCTAAATGTCCATCCAGACAAGATCGTCGATGATGGCAATGTTACTGTAAGCTGCACAGTGGAGACTGGAGGACATTTCAATATTTCCAATATGGCTTGGCTTCAAAACTCTGAAGAAATCTTCGTGACCTTCAGTAACGGAAGTCATCTCGTCTTGGACAACTCCATCACGCCTGCTGTGATGGACGTGACACAGAGCAACAACCAGCACAACGTAACCATGATAGCCAGTCCCTATGTGAATGGCACTGAATGGACGTGCGGAATCCCAGTGTTGGCAACAATCAGTAACACTGTACTGATACAGGTCTTGGAACCAACAGGTAAGATTAGGCTTGGGAGGTCTGGGAAGTGATATACACATCATAGTTGTTCAGCCGGCTCTTCAAAACATGCACTGGGATTGGATGAGTCTCATATTCCTCGCAGCGTCCTTGTTGTTCAGAATATTAGTGATCCAAGTATGTTCTCTTGTTAAAGATGAGCACCAATTCTTACTTTGCATAATTACGGGAACGGATCATTATATTTGAAGGCAATGTCACACATACACATATTCTAACTTTTTTTTCAGGGAATGTCAGCTTGGATGTGTACCCAGAGGAGGTAGAGAAGGGTACAGGCTATTCTTTATCTTGCACTGTGAAAACGGAGGACCCTGTACGTGCGTCACATATGACGTGGCGTCAGAACTGCGAAGAATACATTGTGACCTTCGGTAACGGCAGTTATGACATTGTCGGCAATTCGACCTCTTCTGTTATTGGTGAGATCAAAGCGAGTGACAGTCAACACAATCTAACTCTTTTGCCTATCAACGATGATTCGAAGTCAACAACATGGACTTGTGGAATTGAAAAGTGGCAATGGTACAGTAACAATGTATCAATAACGGTTCGGAAACAAGTTTCGACATGTGAGTATCGTAATTTAGTGTACGTGCGTGCACTCTGCCCACCAGTCCATCTTGTTAAAATGCCTATGTGCCGATGTTAGAAGTCATGTCTTATATAATGTTACGAGAACACATTCAAATTACTCCTATCACTCAGTGTGATAACTGGAGGGATGACAATGGGTTGAATTGTTGAAGGTGATGACACTGGATTGAATTGTTGAATGTTGAGTTAGTGTAGTCGACAAAGGTAATATCCCCACATATATGAAGGAGCACAACATAACTTTCACTGCTAACTATACTCATCAGCACAACAAACGTCAGTACGAATTCAAAATTGGATAGGCACTGTAATCAAATGATTACAGAATGGATATAATAAGCGGATCTCGTAAAATCCCGGTAGGACTTTTGTGTACAATATCTTGACACGTCAATGAATAACTCAGCACAATTTCAAGATATTACGTGAACGTTTGCAAACCATTCAGACTCTTCACTTCAGTATCTAGTGTGAACACCACGAGCGGCAATAACTGCAGCACAGTGTCTATGCATGGAGTGCACCAATCGATTGATGAAGTCCCGAAAATAAAAATTTCCGAAAACTGTAAATTTAAACTCGCTCGCCCATGGGCGAACAGTGTCCCATGGGCCGGCCCATGGGCGAGCGAGTTTAAATTTAAAGTTTTCGTTTTTTGTGCATTTTTTCATCCTTGGCATATATTCATAACAACTGCATGTTCCATTTGGTCCAATCCCTTGTCAGAAAGTGCCCACAGTGCGGAGAGTTTCTGGACTTTTGTGAGTCCAGAATTAAATTGTGACGTGTTGATAGGTAATAGGCCACAAGTGATTAACTTCATTTTAACAGTCTACCACACCACGTCGATATTTCGTTAGAAAATGCATTTTCATCCAAAAGTGGATATAAGCATACACTTGTCATCATATAGAGAAGGGGATATATCAGTATTTAATCAAGTGTGATGACTCTGTTCAGACATACAGTAAAACATTATCTATCATATCTCCCGTGTTTCACAGCCCGGCCGCACCTACCAAGCAATCTGAAGGCAGTAAACATCTGCTCCCGTTCAGTCACCCTGACATGGGAGAAAGGTTCCAACGGTGGCGCCAAACAAAGGTTCAACATACAATACAGAAAACCTGGCGGACAGTGGACCACCCATCCAACACTTCCAACCGAGGACGACACCCTCCAGCTGGTCATTGATGGCCTCGAACCCGGAACGGTCTACGAAATTCGGATTAATACACAGAATGAATACGGCACCAGCAACTACACCTCCGCCATTGTAACCACGGACACAGGTACATTTCTTCATATAGACATTATTTTTAGCATACAGATGTTTTGGTTTGGGAATTGTTGTTTTTGGGGGGTGGGCTAAAGAGTATTAAGCGCCAGCGGTTAATATACTATTCTCTATGATTTCTGACAGACACATGCATGTACGGGCGTGTGCGCGTGTATGTGTGTGTAATGCGTTGAATATATTTGTTTTGCAACAGAGAAACCGTTGCAAACACAACGATTCATACCTGCTTTGTAAAACCATCTAATTTTGAATTACCAAGACCAATATCTGAATACCCCATGCTCAACACAACCCGTGAGGGTGTGGTCGTGTTCACAGTGGAGGAACCTGTGACAACCCACAGGTTACAAATAACGACCACACAAAGTATCGCCCTGGCTGTGGCCTGCCAAGACTCAACACCCCGTACCACAACTCACTAGTGTTAGAGGATTGTTATTCTTGCTGTTTCCCTCCTTAGTTTCGTGTGACCTTCTGAGTGGCGACACCATCTGTAGGTCAACTTCAATGATGCTGTTCCTGGGTGCCTGTCTCTGCACATATATATTTACGATGTTGTGTGTTTAGTCTTCACTACAAAGATATCTCAAACATTTAATTGGCCATGAACGTTTTACCTCAGTGTGTATCGTGTTCGTATTTGGCCCTCATCTACTAATAACTCGTTTCTCTGTTTGAAGAATTATATTTTATTCTCTTTTCTCACATATCTTTATTGATCACTCATGTTTTCATTTTGTGTGAAACAACCATAGAATCGGAGTTCAAATATTTTTATGGAGTACATGTGTTTAATTTTGTATCTGCATCACAGAAACGCGTTTGTTTTGTTATTTAACGTCGAACTCAGCAATATTCCAGCTATATAACGGCGATCTGTAAATATTCGCGTTTGGGCCAGACAATCCGGTGATTGGCATCATGCGCATCAGTTTATACTGACATGCATCAACCAAGTCAGCGAGCCTGACCATCTGATCCCGTTAGCGGACTTAGCCTGGCAACTCGGGACAAAATCCTACCCGGATCTTTACTGCACGGATATCAGCATGCGAACAAGAGCAGTGAGAGGTAGGGTTTCAATGGCTGTTGATTGTCCAATAACGACCCATGGCAGGATGGATAATGCTTATTGTATTCACAGCGAACCCTTCAGGCGTGCCTGTCTATGTTGTGATCATCGCGTGTGTAACGTCAGTGCTCCTCACAGCGGCATTGTACAAGGCAGTGGTGGTTGGATGTAAGTATTTCACAAACTTGTTTCACATAGCTTGTTTTCTCGTTAGTTTAATTAGTTTCTTCGAATTAGAAAATAAAGCTACTGTGTTTTCACTTTTGCGGTCCTTTATGGTAACGGTTGATTCTAGCACGACATTGTGTGATACTCGATTCTGATTGGCTGAGAGCTCATCAAAACCGTACTTAAATGGCAGTTTAAGACCGCTAATTAAAGTAACCGATTCACCGCGTATGAATACAATGAACGCGTTGACCCTTTTGTTTGTAAACAAATATGTCGGACATCGGCAATGTCTACCTCGGCAGCATCTTTTATGTTTTTAAAATAGAAAGCGAATAGTTTGAAGAACAATTTCTTGACCCTAATCCCAGTGAAGAAACTACGAAGCTGGAAAATTCGTCAGCTGCGCAAAAGCGGCACTATTCAAAACCGGGTCTAGATCTAGCGGGCATGACGTAGACAACACACGTCGGCCCATACGTCCTTACCTGACCGCTTCCGTCCTGGCCGTAATGCCCAGTCCTTCCACTTCCACTGTCCATATATCCCACATAAAACGTGGCATGTCAGGTCTTTTCCAAATTGGGAATAGTAGGGTGGTTATCAACAATTATTAGTTTCTGAGATTAGAGTCAAGAAATTCTTCTGCGAAACCTTTCGCTTTTTACTTCAAAAACATCAAAGATGCTGCCGAGGTAAAAATCGCCGTTATTGGACATGTTTGTTTACAAACAACAGGGTCAACGATTTCAATGTCTTCATACGCGGTGAATCGGTCACTTTAATTAGCGGTCTTAAACTGCCATTTAAGTACGGTTTTGATGAGCTCTCAGCAAATCAGAATCGAGTATCACACAATTTCGTGCTAGAATTTCGAGTATTTTCTTGTTACTTCGTTTCATGTCTCGTTACTTCAAGTTTCTTGCGGGGCTGTGGGGTAGCCTAGTGGTTAAAGCGTTGGCTCGTCACGCCGAAGACCCGGGTTCGAATCCCCACATGGGTACATTGTGTGAAGCCCATTTCTGGTGTCCCCCGCCGTGATGTTGCTGGAATATTGCTAAAAGCGGTGTAAAACCAAACTCAGTCAGTCAATCAGTCAGTCAAGTTTCTTGCAAAACCCTGAATTTCAAACATTCCTTGGTTGCTTCGATTCGATTATCTCGTCTTTACTTCGATTGTTTTCTTCAAGTTTCTTTCAAATGGTAACGAGGAAGTAATCAAAGCAGAAAGGAAATGCTCGAACTTACAAGAAAATGTAACTCGAAATGTCATTTTAACTTAAAAAATGATAAAACAATTGAAATGGAACATATGTTATATTTGGAATAATACTTTCTCATTATACTTCAACCCAATCCTGGATTCGAACCCACGCACTCAGAGTAAGGCATCTAATCGGAAGCACACACATTCCACGATCTAACCCACTCATCCATCTCTTCTTCCTTAAAACTGGTAGCCTGACAACTGGTTGTGATCTAGGTAATCCAGATCACGTATTTTGTGTACTCTGACAATAGGAAATTAGCACGGCTCCCACGGCCGAAAGAAAAACCTCTCAAACTATAAAAAAGTTTAGGTCTTACGACAGTTGTCCTGACAAATATGTCTAAAATTAGTTTAGTCTAAAGTCAACAAATAATCAGTATGTGCTCGTTCTTTAAGACTTTGCTACTCATTTGGCAGGCCTGTTCAACCACTGACTTGCAATATGTAATAAAACAAATAATAAATCGTTTCAGTAATTAAAAAAGTTTGGAACAGAAGTAAGAACTGAAACTCTTGACCACTGGTCTAAGTAAACATAACAGGTAGGCAGGTAATTAGTTCCCTGTATGTGCAATTCAATTCAATTCTTATATTTCCAGACTCGATTATTTACAGATCGCCGCCATATAGCTGGAATATTGCTGAGTGCGGCGCAAAACTAAACTCACTCACTCACTCACTCACTAAGAAGGCAAATATTTCTTCTAACAGTTACTTGGTTGATAAAGTTACATAATATTCAACATTCAAAAGTAACCTAATTACACTTAGTACATACATGTCCGTTTCAGTGGCCAAACGAAAGTCTTCTAACCAGCCCGCGACCACCAAAAAAACCGAGAGCAACTACGAGACTACCACAAGAGGTAGGGAAGTGACAAGTCTATTTAAACACTATCAATTGAAATGAATATAAGATATATCCTCTCCCAATGTTGTATGTAACAGTGAGTGAGTTTAGTTTTACGCCGCACTCAGAAATATTTGTATGTAACAAATCACAACCACAGGTTACAATATGCTCAATCATTGATATCACATTTTTTTACGGTACATTTAGATAATCATTGTTTTGTGACAGAATGTCAATGTTTGAGGGATTCCGGTGAGAATATACACGAACAAAGATTAAGTCTGAGATTAAGAAGACCGTGTGTCCCCGGCGGTATGCGACGTTTAAAGGGTCAATCGCACTTGTTATTCATAGACTGGTGTCTTACAGTTGTGTACTGAAGCCTTTTAGGGCCATGCGTTTTTACATTGAAATTTCAAGATAAATATAAAGCTGAAATTTCAAGAAAATGACCTTCAAATTTTAAGATAAGAAGTTGAAAATTCAAGATCATTATCTTGATATTTCTAAATAGTATGTTGAAATTTTGAGTTACTATCTTGAAATTTCAACTTAACATCTTGAAAAATCCGCTCAGTATCTTGACCTTTCAAGATGAAACGAAAAAGACGAATGGTCCTCGAAGGCTTCCGTAGTTGTGGTTAACTGACGTTTAAAGCAACAACTGTCCTGCATATTCCTATAGTTACCCCTCGGTTAATTAGCAATTGTTAAGTAGAAACTGTGGATTTTCTGGAAAATATTGTTTCATGTGCTTCACAGAAGTTTCGCTCTTCCTTTCACCACCCCACGAATGCGTTTTCTTGTTTTCAGACATGAACGTGGGGGGGAACGCATACTGCTCTCTGGCCCCTGTGGAAGCTGTGTACGTCAACACTAACACCAACAACCAGCCACGACCTACGTCATCAGCATCGGCAGCATCACGAGAGTGACAGTCCCCAAACCCGTATTACTCAATCGTTAGAGATTCCGCTGTTTAATACACACACACACGCACGCACCTGTATTACACATTGTGTAACGACATCATCAGTATATCCTCGGCAAACGGGGTGAACTGTACGATACTAACACCGGGGATCAGCACTGACAGAGATTCTGGTAGGTCCTTCATTCTGCCCAGACGAATATCTGAACTGTATGTATGCATCGCAGACTAGCCGAGTTATTCACACATTTTTTGTCAGTTTTCTCTGCAATCGCATCATCGCAATATCGCAATATTGCTCTTAATGTATGTCTCTTTATTGATGCAACATGTGCTTGGTGTTGTGTTGTGGCTGTGCTATGGCCTATAGCAACTTGCCCACTCACATCAAGAATGCTGAATCTTTGGACACATTTAAATCGTCTCTAAATACCCACTTTTTTCGTCTTGCCTATTACTAGACTTTCTATGTTCAATTGTCTCTCTGTAAATAGTTTTACCTATTTTCTTTTCTCCTATAGTATTGTCGCGCCATGAGCAGGTATTAGTACCTGGATGTAGCGCTATATAAATACCCACATTATTATTATTATTATTATTATTATTATAGTGTTGCACTGTATAACAATGTTGACCATGGAGTCAGTGAGTTAGTGAGCGTAGTTTTACGCCGCTTTTAGCAATATTCCAGCAATATCATGGCGGGGGGACACCAGAAATGGGCTACACATATTGCATCCATGTGGGGAATCGAACCCGGGTCTTTAGCGTGACGAGCGCACGCTTTAACCACTAGGCGACCACGCCCCGAGTGCAGTGATATGCTAGGTGCTATATTTAGACTGGGAGTGAAGACTGGTTTGGAAGTTTCTAGAGCAACCGGACAATTCCAACCAGTTAGACTGACTGACTGAGTTTAGTTTTACGCCGCTTTTAGCAATATTCCAGCAATATCACGGCGGGGGACACCAGAAATAGGCTTAACACATTGTGCCCATGTGGGGAATCGAACCCGGGTCTTCGGCGTGACGAGCCAACGGTTTAACCACTAGGCTACCCCACCGCCCCCCCAACCAGTTAGAGAAAACTAGTGAGTGAATGAGCCAGTTTAGTTTTACGCCGTACAGCAATATTCCAGCTAAATGGCGGCGGTCTGTAAATAATCGAGTCTGGACCAGACAATCCAGTGATCAACATCATGAGCATCGATCTACGCAGTTGGGATACGATGACATGTGTCAACCAAGTCAGCGAGCCTGACCACCCGATCCCGTTAGTCGCCTCTTAGGACAAGCATGGGATGTCAAAGATCAATTCTGACCAGATCTTCACGGTTGAGAGAAATCAAACCGAAACTTCAGGAAACCTCGCCTGCACGCGTTGATGCATCACTGTTCTCTGTATTCAAAATCACTGCTTTTATGTTGTATTGTTGCTGTATTGTACTGTTATTTTTTACTGACATTGGACTTGTTTGTATTTACTTGTAACCCCAGTTTATTGTTGATCCTATCACATTTCATTGTTTGTTAGCTTCACACCAATTTCATTAAGCTCAGATTTCGATATTAAAATCGTCACATATTAACTGGATAAAATAAACAAGTTTTTAGAATCTCTGCCTTCTTTATCCTCATCATTGATCTGGCATTCCTCAATGCCAGGCTCTTCTCTGAGATTGAATCACAAACAAGCACTATTTTACTGACTGACTGACAGAGTTTGGTTTTACGCCGCTTTTAGCAATATTCCAACATCGCGGCGGGGGACACCAGAAATGGGCTTCACACATTGTACCCGTGTGGGGATTCGAACCCGGGTCTTCGGCGTGACGAGCCAACGCTTTAACCATTAGGCTACCCCACCGCCCCAGCAATATTTTACTTGAAGCATGAGTGAGTGAGTGAGTGAGTGAGTGTAGAAATAGTTCAGTAATATCACGGCAGAGGACACCAGAAATGGGCTTGACACATTATGCTCATGTGAACAATCGAGTCTTTGGCGTGACGAGCCAACGGTTTAACCACTAGGCTACCCCACCGCCCCCCAACCAGTTAGAGAAAACTAGTGAGTGAATGAGCCAGTTTAGTTTTACGCCGTACAGCAATATTCCAGCTAAATGGCGGCGGTCTGTAAATAATCGAGTCTGGACCAGACAATCCAGCGATCAACATCATGAGCATCGATCTACGCAGTTGGGATACGATGACATGTGTCAACCAAGTCAGCGAGCCTGACCACCCGATCCCGTTAGTCGCCTCTTAGGACAAGCATGGGATGTCAAAGATCAATTCTGACCAGATCTTCACGGTTGAGAGAAATCAAACCGAAACTTCAGGAAACCTCGCCTGCACGCGTTGATGCATCACTGTTCTCTGTATTCAAAATCACTGCTTTTATGTTGTATTGTTGCTGTATTGTACTGTTATTTTTTACTGACATTGGACTTGTTTGTATTTACTTGTAACCCCAGTTTATTGTTGATCCTATCACATTTCATTGTTTGTTAGCTTCACACCAATTTCATTAAGCTCAGATTTCGATATTAAAATCGTCACATATTAACTGGATAAAATAAACAAGCTTTTAGAATCTCTGCCTTCTTTATCCTCATCATTGATCTGGCATTCCTCAATGCCAGGCTCTTCTCTGAGATTGAATCACAAACAAGCACTATTTTACTGACTGACTGACAGAGTTTGGTTTTACGCCGCTTTTAGCAATATTCCAACATCGCGGCGGGGGGACACCAGAAATGGGCTTCACACATTGTACCCGTGTGGGGATTCGAACCCGGGTCTTCGGCGTGACGAGCCAACGCTTTAACCATTAGGCTACCCCACCGCCCCAATATTTTACTTGAAGCATGAGTGAGTGAGTGAGTGAGTGAGTGAGTGTAGAAATAGTTCAGTAATATCACGGCAGAGGACACCAGAAATGGGCTTGACACATTATGCTCATGTGAACAATCGAGTCTTTGGCGTGACGAGCGAACGCTTTAACCACTGGGCTACCTCGCCGCCCCTCGTGAAGCAGGAAGCTGAATCCGTCAGCGTACAGAGAAGTTAATCAGCTGACTTGGGGAAGCACATTGTGAGGCAGATATCATGTTTATCCGTCCGTGTGTCACGGACGTGTCTAGTTACCTGTCATGTGCTGCAAGAGTTTCCCACCTACCTCCAGGGGATCGTTGTCTTACCACAACAGTAGATAAACACTTAGAAGATGAGCTTATTTTAGTAATATATACTGAAATACAACAGAAGTTGCAATCAGTTATTTGTACAGTTTAGATCAGTGTGAAGTGGATCATGTCGATCAGAGAAACCATTTGATATGAAGGAGTGTGTGTGTGTGTGTGTGTGTGTGTGTGTGTGTGTGTGTGTGAATGTGAGTTAGCGTGTATGAATGGGGAGGGGTGGTCAGGTGACACAGGTAAGTCAAGCGAATCATCAGTTTGATACGTGGTCAGCTCACCCAGGTAAGTCTAGGGAATCATCAGTGTGATACGTGGTCAGGTGACCCAGGTAAGTCTAGTGAATCATCAGTTTGATACGTGGTCAGGTGACCCAGGTCAGTCTAGTGAATCATCAGTTTGATACATGGTCAGGTGATCCAGGTAAGTCTAGTGAATCATCAGTTTGATACATGGTCAGGTGACCCAGGTCAGTCTAGTCTAGTGAATCATCAGTTTGATACGTGGTCAGGTGACCCAGGTCAGTCTAGTGAATCATCAGTTTGATACATGGTCAGGTGACCCAGGTCAGTCTAGTGAATCATCAGTTTGATACGTGGTCAGGTGATCCAGGTAAGTCTAGTGAATCATCAGTTTGATACGTGGTCAGGTGACCCAGGTCAGTCTAGTGAATCATCAGTTTGATACGTGGTCAGGTGACCCAGGTCAGTCTAGTGAATCATCAGTTTGATACGTGGTCAGGTGACCCAGGTCAGTCTAGTGAATCATCAGTTTGATACATGGTCAGGTGACCCAGGTCAGTCTAGTGAATCATCAGTTTGATACGTGGTCAGGTGATCCAGGTAAGTCTAGTGAATCATCAGTTTGATACATGGTCAGGTGACCCAGGTCAGTCTAGTGAATCATCAGTTTGATACGTGGTCAGGTGATCCAGGTCAGTCTAGTGAATCATCAGTTTGATACATGGTCAGGTGACCCAGGTCAGTCTAGTGAATCATCAGTTTGATACGTCGTCAGGTGACAGGTGACCCAGGTAAGTCTAGTGAATCATCAGTTTGATACGTGGTCAGGTGACCCAGGTAAGTCTAGTGAATCATCAGTTTGATACGTGGTCAGGTGACCCAGGTCAGTCTAGTGAATCATCAGTTTGATACGTGGTCAGGTGATCCAGGTAAGTCTAGTGAATCATCAGTTTGATACGTGGTCAGGTGACCCAGGTAAGTCTAGTGAATCATCAGTTTGATACGTGGTCAGGTGACCCAGGTCAGTCTAGTGAATCATCAGTTTGATACGTGGTCAGGTGACCAGGTCAGTCTAGTGAATCATCAGTTTGATACGTGGTCAGGTGATCCAGGTCAGTCTAGTGAATCATCAGTTTGATAGATGGTCAGGTGACCCAGGTAAGTCTAGTGAATCATCAGTTTGATAGATGGTCAGGTGATCCAGGTAAGTCTAGTGAATCATCAGTTTGATACGTGGTCAGGTGACCCAGGTAAGTCTAGTGAATCATCAGTTTGATACGTGGTCAGGTGATCCAGGTAAGTCTAGTGAATCATCAGTTTGATACGTGGTCAGGTGATCCAGGTAAGTCTAGTGAATCATCAGTTTGATACGTGGTCAGGTGACCCAGGTCAGTCTAGTGAATCATCAGTTTGATACGTGGTCAGGTGATCCAGGTAAGTCTAGTGAATCATCAGTTTGATACATGGTCAGGTGACCCAGGTAAGTCTAGTGAATCATCAGTTTGATACGTGGTCAGGTGACCCAGGTCAGTCTAGTGAATCATCAGTTTGATACGTGGTCAGGTG